GAGGGAAGGCAGCTAGTCATCACCACCCACCGCCAACTCTTGGGCTACTCTTTTACCAACGAATAGTGGGATTGACCGTCACATTATAACGGCCCCCCACGGCTGAAAGGGCGAGCATGTTTGGTGGGATGCGGATTCGAACCCGCGACCCTCAGATTGTGAGTCGAGCGCCTTATCCACCTGGCCATGCCGGGCACTATAGAGAGAGAGAGAGAGCGTTTGTGAACTTTATCTAAAAGCAGCATCTAATCACGATTTATAAGAAATTAAGGCCAGGTATACGTGCTTCAAATTTACAGTATTTAATATAAGTTTGTAAAATATATCCATGGGGAGTTGATATTATACTACTTTTGTAAACGGTGCAACATTAGTAGCTAAATTAAATTAAGCTTTGACCAATTTGATTCATTACGTACTCTTAGACGACTTGGAATTTTACAAAAAACATAAAAAGAAAACCCAACTTTTATAACACAGTGACATTGTAAGCAACAAGAGCAATTTAAAGTAAAAACTTTAGCATTTCATTTTCTAAAATCAAAATTAATTTTTTATTCGTTCCGTATCTTGAGATTAATGTGCCCTGCAGTCCGAGTGTATGTCCAGAGTTTGTCCTTTAGTGTTAAGTTTGTGTGTTTTTCATGTATATGTGAAGCAAAAAACTGAGCAAGTAACAAGTTTGTTTGTTTTGAATTTATCGCAAAGCTACACTAGGGCTATCTGCGCTAGCCGTCCCTAATTTAGCAGTGTAAGACTAGAGGGAAGGCAGCTAGTCATCACCACCTACCGCCAGCTCTTGGGTTACTCTTTTACCAACGAATAGTGGGATTGACCGTCACATTATAACGCCCCCCACGGCTGAAAGGGCGAACCCGCGACCAACAGATTGCGGAAACAAGTTTGAAATAAAAATGATTTCTCTTTTCACTGTAAGTGTGGAAAATCTTGATACTTAATAATTCCGAAAGACAGTTCATTTGTAAAGTAAGTTGGTGGATAATATGTTTTAACGAGTAACACCTAACTCAGACTTGTGTAGATAATTATTTTATTAGACATGTCTCTTTGGCTTAACGAAAATCTTGAGTACACACTAGAAGAAGAAAAAAAAGAGACACTGATCGATCTAGGTCATACAATTACGCAAATATTTTTGTACAGTAAATTGTTATGAAACCAAAAGTGGCTTCTCAGCTAACCGTATTTTTTCAATTAAATAATAGATTGCAAACTGTGTAGACTTTCCTAAAACTAAAAAAAGTAAATAACTTCAGTGAGCATGAGTTACTTACCTGAAGCTGAATTATGTTTTGTTGACATATTCTGCAACATTTGAGGTAAAACTAACTGACGCCCTTACAAATAACTGATATATATATATATATATATATTCAAAGCTCTTTTTATATCTCACTCAGCCTTAACGAATTTATTTATTAGTACACTGAGAGAAGTATATGCTTATATCCTTTAATGGATACCTTTATCGTCATCCCAATCAACCTGTTGCAGTTTGAATTGACATTTTTGTTTATCTTGCTGCTTTGGCCACACAAGATGGCGGGACCACAGTTCTCCAGACCTGATTGACTAATCTTTTCTTTTCGTCTTATATCTCCATCTTTAAGCCAGCCATTGTGCCAGGTTTTATACCTTGGCATCTTGTATATTCAACATAGCTTTTTTTTTATTAAAATTTCGAAGGACTATTAGCCTGTACAACAAATAATGGTTATTAATGAAGGCTGTGCTAAAGAGGTAGCGTGCCACCAAAAAAAGTGTGATTCATGGCACGCACACGTTCTATTGACGTCACGACAGTACAGCCGCAATGTTAAGCGTCCCTTATGTGACATCATTTTAGTGTCTACTGACTGACTGACAGACAACACACTACTGTATAGTGGTGCGAGTGGTTAAAACAGGTGACCCGTCCAGGCAGCCTTAGGCCCTCTTTCGGGGAAATGAACAAATATCTTAAATATATTCGACTAATGCTTATTACTTATGCATAGATAATATTCGTTACTGTACCATAGCGTAATAAATAGTTTATATTATTAAATATTACTTAATAGATAATCGTTGTTACCATAGCATAACTCAATAAATCTATGTTGGTATAAAAACTTAACCGTATTCTTATAACATTGCAAACGAAATCATTGAAAAAATATTTTTCTCTCTTAATGTCGAAAGGTTCTTTACTAGAAGATAAACGTATAAAAACTTGTGAAGTTTAGTTAACATACACTACAATCAATCTCTTAAATCATCTTTAAAAATTAAAGCCATAATAAGACTATCTAAACTATAGTTCTGTTTAATAAAAACTATCATCAAAAGGTAGATAGACAAAAATAGTTTTCACAAAGCAAAACAAAACGCAAATCTTTATTGACAGCGTCAATAAGAATGACATATTTAGGTAATGTACTCGGTACTTATTCATAAAAATTATCTGGTATCTAATGGCTTACTTATATATTTATTTAACGATGAACCATACTAAATGTAGTGATTTTTGATTAATTCAAAGTTTCAGAGATTGCAAAGTTAATAATCTTACTTTTCTACATTTTTGTTTGTTTGTTACGAAGGCCGATTATTTTAAGATAAGACGTGATCTTATTTATTACGAAAATTTATTAGTTTCTAGGTATCATTAGCTTCATAAGTGTGTTTTGTACGTTTATTATTAAACACAATGTTTCACAATGGATATCCGTGGTCTGCTTGCTGCGGGTATAGAAACCCGAAGTTTAAGCCGTGAAACTTACAGCTGAGCCACCGGGGCGTGGTGTTTCATAAGAGGTATGGGCTTATGAAACTATAAAGTTCGCTAGTATAACCCACTTTATATTCACTTAAAATGTTGTTTCAAATGCTCTTCTTTTTTGTTAACGAAAAGATGTACAATTAATTTCTCGTACACTGCTTGCAAGTAGATAGGGAACTACGCTTAAAATCAGTCATTCACAACCTTAATTTAATTGTATATAAAATCTAAGACCTAGATCCATAAACATCCACCATTTGATCTATTTTAACAATGATATTTATTACCTGTTGCGGATGGAAGGAGTTTATTACACCTTGTTTGGTCAAGACAAGGACTTTGGATCGAGATTCATTACCTTCGCTGCACAAAGAGGGCTCTGCAAGCTGGGTGGAAGGCTTGGGCACTAGGCTACTCTTGTGATAGCGATAAAGAGCAAAAATTAAACCGATCAGGACTGCCAGCCCGACTCCAGTAGTGACACCTAGTGACATAGGTGATACCAACATTGTTTTTCCTCTAAAAGAAAAATATAGAAAGGTATTAAGAGTATCTTATTTTTAACTTAGAACTATTTGTAAAACATTAATTGAACCCTGAAAAAAGTGGTTAGAAATTACTACCAATTTTTTTTCCTCAGATTTTTAGATACTTTAACCAATATAATTATTACAAAAATTTAATATTCTAATTATTCTATAAAATATTTGAAGAAAGCAGGACCAAAACATGATTTCTTAAAATATTCTTTAATTTGGTTTGTTAAAGTTTCATCACTTTCAATAATAAGACTCATACACCAAATTTAGTGTTGCGACAGGTTTCTCTGGGTCTAATACAAAAGAAGATTATAGACATTTAACTCAGCTAATGGTACAATGTTCTAATAAATAAATATAAAGTACAGTCATGATAACCCAGAGGCTCCAAGTTAAGAATGCTCAGAGGGCCTGTCTGATTCTAGCAACAAAAAAAAACAAATTATACAAACTTAGTACAGGTAATACAACTTATAATACATGTCCTAATATTTTGATATACTAAGGTGGGTTTTCAGTTTCTCAACCCTTCGTTAAAGATGTGATACCCCAGTCTATAGAAGAATTATTCCTTATATTATCAGAAAATACAAAGTTATGCACAAAGCTACACAATGGGCTATCTGTGCTCTGCCCACCACGGGTATCGAAACCCGGTTTCTAGCGTTGTAAGTCCGCAGACATATCGCTGTGTCACTGGGGTGCTAAAACAATAGTATAGTGAGAGAATGAAAATTTAATGTCTGGTAGTAGAACGTTTTCTTATTTTATGACAAATGCGAAGTCCTTCACTGAAATCCTTCTGTTGATGGTTGAAACAAACGCATCTGCAACCTGTATACATACACACACACAAGCACGCAATACGTGTACGCGGTTAATTGAGTGTCTACGTAGATACATTAATAAGTGCACTTAAACAACAGCTCCAACCAATAAGATTTATTTTCGGAAATATTTTTAGAAGACGCTTAATTACACGAGGGCTATTTGCGCTATCCCTAATTTTGAAGTGGTAGACTAAGAGAAAGGCGGCTAGTCAACACTACCCTCCGCCAACTTTTGGGCAACTCTAGTCTGACCGAAAAATCGGATTTGACCGTCACTCTAATAGCACACCCACAGTCCTAAAGTGAATCGAGTTTTGTGGGGAGACAGGACGTGAACCATGAACCCCAAATTCACATTTTAGGGTACACTAACTATAAGAGCTACGCATAGGAACGTGAAAGGTTAAGTAGAACATTCTGGGTGAAAGTAATATATGTTAGTTAAAACTTTAATGAAATATAACAACAACAATCATTTAAATAACCGAGGATATATGGGGCAGCGATGAGTTTAATATAAAATATAATGATGTTATATTTATCTTCAATTTGAAAAAAAACAACAACATTTTTTCACTATTGGGTTTAACAACATAATACTTTCGGATGTTACTTTAATTTTTTGATAAATTAAGTTACCTTCACCCCTTAAGGGCAGTTAAACTTTGAAATTAGATTGTAAATCTAATATTTTCCTAGTGGAAATATTATCTGACCTCGCTGTACGTAACAAAACCGCGAACACGCTAACCTCACAAAAATAAAAATAAAATGTTAATTTAAAAACAGCGAAGAGTCGCCTAGCAACAGTTTTTACCTACATAGGATACGTATTTGTTTCGATTAGTCAACGCGCCACGCATATCATGTTTAACATGAAAAGCAATTTTAATGTCCACTAATCTAACATGATTATGTTCTCCCTAGTGGTATTGTTAATTGTGTTTGACGTTTATAATTTAAAAAGATTCCCGTTCTGTTTTATTTTGTTGTCGTACGAGATCAAACGCTACAGAAGGTAATTTGTCTCGTGTTGTGTTTATCATTTTGGGTCGCACCGAAAGCTTCATGGTTATATTAGTCATCTTGCTAGCGATCTGATAATTGCTTTGTTTATTATAGCTCTTGCTTTTGTTCAAGAGTTTCATAATTTTACTTAGTTATTACGGATGTAATTATTTTATAAGTGATTTTATCAATGGATGGTTGAATAAAATAATAATTATAAAGATAGTTTGAACTTGCGTTTATTCTATAGTGGATATTCTGAAGAGGATAAATAACTGAATTACAATAAATATAATCCTAAACTGTTATCACTCACCAGAACACCATATTTTTTAATTGTGACAAGTAAACTGTGATATTGTTACTGCATCACAATCAGATTGATCATAATTCTTAACAATTCAATTTTTACTAACCCTGAACGGTTTTACAGTAAGAAGAAGAATATTCTAGTATTTTAAAAGCACACTATGTTTGTTGCACGTTGCTACTAGCTTAGGGGGTAGTAGGCCCTACCGACCTGATGAGCTCTGGTTTTCGGCAAAAGGCTTCGTCGTCTATGGCATAGGGCAAAGTAAGTGTACAGTTTAAATACTATTGCTAAACACCGTATAGAGGTAGTAAATAAAGATTAAAAATAATATTATCATTCGTATTGTGATGTAATATGACACATATTACTGACTCTCATTAATATTATTGCTCCTGACTTACTATTTTATGCATGATTCCATCTGCTGTAGATGGACAGCAAGAGAATAGCTTGTTGTTCACTATTACACTTGTTTTACATGGGCAGCATGAAGAATAGCTTGTTGTTCACTATTACACTTGTTTTACATGGGCAGCATGAAGAATAGCTTGTTGTTCACTATTACACTTGTTTTAAATGGGCAGCATGAAGAACAGCTTATTGTTCACTATTACACTTGTTTTAAATGGAAAGCAAGAAGAATAGCTTGTTGTTCACTATTACACTTGTTTTAAATGGAAAGCAAGAAGAATAGCTTGTTGTTCACTATTACACTTGTTTTAAATGGAAAGCAAGAATAATAGTTTATTGTTTACTATTACACTTATTCTCTCCAGAAATTATTTCGGAATGAATATGATATGTCTCCCATAGTACCTTTTCATCCTAGTATGTTGGCTTCTCGATTTCGCGATGTTGTTGAACTTGCTAACTTTCACTATTTAACTCACTATAACTCTTTATCCCACACTAAACTGATTAATTAATTCTAACTCCCTCATTCTGGGGTTTTAAACCTGTACTCTATTTCACTAACGGGCAAGATTTCATCGAGGCCTAAACTTTCATGAAGCTTCAAGACTTCACACAGGTATTACATCATGTAAAACAATTTCCTTCAGTGTAGTGTTTCTCAAACTTTAGTAACCAGAGGACCCCTTTTAATATAAATATTTTTCGTGGACTCCCAAACCTATCGTTTTTTTTGTTCTGAAAAAACAAACAAAAAAAAATCCGCCTACATGAAAAGCTGTATTCCAAAATTAAATGTTTTTATTCAGGTAGATTTATTTTGACGAAAAACATTTTTTCATTCTATAGATCATATTTTTTCAAATATTTTTATGAAATTTCTGACATGACTCTCAGACGCAAATTTGAGAAACGCTGCTCTAGTGAATAAAACACTAGAATGTTAAGTATATAGTCTACAACGATATATTTCTTTAGTAGCAGTGTAGGCATCTAAAATCAACCATAGAAATTAATACCAACCCTAAGCTTGACGTATAATACATGATCTTATTTAAATGGAGCTGGCGATGTATACATCCAAAACTCGGATCACGGAAACTACCGCACCGATCATCACCAATCATAACTGGGTAATATTTTTATAACTAGGCAGTATTTTTATAGCTGAGCAATAAATAAAACAGTTGATATTTCTACAAAAAAGATGTTTCAGATTTAACCAATTAAAGATTAGAAACAAGAAGGAGTAAGTTTCAAATATAAAACAATAAAAAACTTTACAAAATTATTTGTTTTTCTTCATTGAAAATCTCATGAGTGTTGCAACAGAAAAACAAGGTACTTTCATTGATAACTGCGTCTACAAAGAAATATTTTAATAAAATCTACTCTGTGGTGTAATGCTGTGATGATAGTTCCTTTGTAAACTAATATTTCAATAAAATTCTTTTTCTCATGAATGGTGAACATTATTGAATGTTAAGTATGACTATATTGTTGTAGAACTGTCAGACAATTCCAGAAAAGACCGCAGGTACAATAGCCTTCCGCAGGAACTAGCAGTTATACCTGCTCGAAGTGCGGGTATTACTGCTAGTATTACCAATGTCTTCAGCGGCATGTCTGTGGATCTGAATAGCTCAGTGGGAAATGTGTCAGCCTTATGATTGTTAAATTATGATAACATATTATATGAATCGCCATAAATTTCGATGCCTTATCTAAAGTATAAACAAAAATAATAAATCGTACTGTTGATTGTTTTCCATGTCTAGATTGTTTGAACTTCCAACTAAACACTGAATGTTTACGGCACGTTTCCAGAACATATGTCGTACGTGTGGGTTGTGTCGGTGGAAAGAAATATACCAGAAAAATATAATTTCACTTATATACTTTATTAAGTTTTAATTTTTAAAATTATAGCTATTCACGTGAATAGTAATTTTTATCAAAATGAAAGGTCTTTAAAACAATAATTATTATTATGGTATTTTCATATTGATCATTCACTACCAACAATTGTGATATAATAATATTTGGTGTTTTCGCTTTTAACATTTGAAGAGGAATTAGAAATAAACGGTTTTGACAGAACGTTCTCTTTATAGTCAAGTTCATTCAGTGTAGTTATATTTTGCTTTTTACTCTCCTGAGCGACTTCGCTGGTAAGCAAACCTGAATGACGTCACATTGACGTCATCACCGGCGCTAAACAGCAAACCAAAGTGTAGGGATAAGGATTAAACGTGTCACGTGACACATCTGTTGACATTTCCTTGCGCCATTCATATAGGGTAACAAAAGTAGCTTGTGTTGATTTCGCTCAACATATCGTAAACTTTGTGTATTGGGGGGGGGGGGGGCAACATAATAAACCT